ATGAATTCCAATTTGTGAGCAGTGTTCCGGAGGTGGGCAGGTGTTTTACTGGGGAACAAACCTACAGGCACTTGACCACTGAGCACATCCTCAGCCCTTCTTCTTATTTATTAATTTAATTTTCTTTTCTTTTTTGTATTTTGTATAGTATTCGATGGACAGAATACCTTTATTTTCTTTATTTTTCAGTGGTGCTGAGGATCATCCCCAGTGCCTCACACATGCTAGCAAGTGCTCTGCCACTCAGCTACAATCCCAGTACCCTCTTTTTATTTTTGATGAAGACCAGTCTCACTAAATTTCTGAGTGTCTTGCTAGGTTGCTGAGACTGGCCTCCAACTTGCCATTTCCCTGCCTTGACTTCCCTAGTGGCTGAAATTACAGGTGCATACCACTACACCAGCAGTTGGAATGAGTTTTGAAGACTTATAATCCAATTTTTTCCAGATGAAAATTGTATTCAAAATCAGTTTCCTTGCTTTTGCTTGCTGGGAGCCATTAGCCAAGTAGGTATGACAATTTCCTTGCCAGCGTACCCCATGTTGCAGTGACATTGAATGTAGGTGACCTTGCTCAAGGACCAAGGCAGATTAGGGTGTTCCCGGTTTTAAGATAATCCTGTTTAGGGCGTTCCCAGTTTAGGTTCCAGGCTTAAGGTTTAAGATTATTCCTGCTGGGAATAGGGCGTATCCTGCTGCCTGAGTTCCCCTTGAGTTCTCACGGGATTCAGACAGTATATTTTGGGAGACAGAAGCCCAGTGGAGGTGGATTTGGGCAGAGAAGGTGGATTTCCCCAGAATGTGATTGTAGACGGCTGGTGTGAGTTCGGGACTAAAGAGTTGCTGTTTGAATCTACAAGCTGTGTGGTGGCTCGTGATTGTGTGCCCAGCCAGACTGTGGCATTTGCTCATACTTTTTAAATTTGTAACTATGACTCTTCCTCTTATTATTGCATTATTATGAAAAAGGTACTTAGCATATAATATTTTTTCTTATGTATATATTTATAAAACTTCATGGCTTGGTAGTATATTTACTTATTTATTAGATAAACTTTGTTTTTATGAGCAATTTTAGGTTTACATAGTTTATTAGTCAGTGTTCTCTAGAGTAACAGTATCAAGAGGAAGTATGATTATCAAAGGGGATTCATGAGATTGGCCTACTTGACCTGAAGATGATGTCCACAGTGGCCTTCTGCAGCTGGAGAGCTTGAGAAGCAGTAGCTACAGAGTCCAAGAGGCTGAGGTCTCAGAACAAGAGGGATCAATGGTGCTGCCCTAGTCCAGATCAAAGATTCTGGAAACTCCCTGGAGAATCACTGGCAGAGTCCACTTTGGGAGAGTGAAGAAGGAAGAGTCTGATATCCTCAGGCCATTGCAGTAGCAATCAAGAACCCAATGAGAAGAAAGGAGCTTACTCTGCTGCTGCTTCCTTCCTCTTCCAACTTTTGTTCCACCCAAGACAGTGTCCTATAGGATGGCGCTGCCTAGCTTAAGGAGGTTCTCCAGTTTGGTTCACTGTTCCACATGCCAATCATTTGTAGACACATCCTCATGGACACACCCAGAAGCTCATTAATCATCAGTATCTTTTAATCCAATCAAGGTGACAATTTAATGTGACATTACTCATAGTATTGAATACCCCTTCTCTCCAGCTGATAGTCTCCACTGTTTTCAACATATTGCATTGGTGAGGGTGTTTGTTAGTTACTAAACCAGTGTTGAACATTTGATAAAGAAAATGGATGAAGCAACACGTTATGATAAGCTGAAGTTCGTCCTTTACCTTAGGGTTCCTCCTCTGTGTGATGTGATTGTGTGTGTCACATATTATACAAGATAATGTCATACAAAAGAGTTTCACTGCTCTGGGAATCCTGTGTTCCCTCTGTTCATCTCTCCTCCTCATTCCTTCCTCCCTCTCTGCTCCCTAAGTCCCTGGCACCCATCAATTCTGCTGGTGCATCTATAATGTTGTCTTTTCCAGAATGTTCTTGACTTGGAATCTTACTTCACTTGGCCATTTCAAACTGACTTCTCTCTCTTACCAGTCTGCCTTTAAGGGTGCTGTATCTTTCTAGGCTGCAGAGCTCATTTTCTGGGTGATGTTCTTTGATGTGGATAAACTGCAGCTTTTCCATTCAGTATTGAAAGGTGCATCTTCCTTGCATCTAGCTTTGGGCAGTTCTGGATATGGCTGCTGTAGTCACTGCAGTGAGGGTTCCTGTGCCCATAATTGCCCCATCATTTGCATAGACACCTGGAGTGTGATGGCTTGATTGTACAGTTTTTTGCATTTATGATTAAATTTTGCATTTATGATTATGAGCATCACTCATAGTTTTCTATTTAATACTTTTCTTTATCTACTTAATTTGAATAATATGGTAACTTATGCCTCAGAAAGAAATAGGAGGTGTTAATTCAGCTTCTATGTTCTGGAAATAAAATTAGAAAATAGGTGGCAGTTCTTAAGTGTCTCATGGAAGCCTGTTTGAGATGTCAGAGCCTTGCCTTGCCTTTTGGGGTAGTAAGTAGTTATTGAGTCTGGTTTTTTTTAGCAGCCGTGGGCTCACTTGTTTTGTGTATTCCCCTTGTGTGTAAGTTGTAGGAGATTGTCTCTCTCAAAGGAATGGTTCAGTTTCTGCAAGTTTCTAATTTGTGACAAGCACATTTATGATCTTCAATTCCAATGCATTGTTGATGATGACACTTTTAAATGTGTTAGTAGGTTTTCAGTCCTCTTTGCATTTCTCTTTAATGTTATTGTATAATTTACACTTTTAATTCTTTCTTTTTATGTGTCAGTGAGGATTGAATCCACTTTCTCCCAAGCACTACCAAACACTCTTCCACTGAGTAACAACCCCAGTCCCTGTCCTCTGTACTCTTAGCCTTATGTCAGTTTATCAGTGATGCTGATGTTCATGAAGAAGTTGATTTTGTGGACTGTGGATTTCCTGATTGTGGTTTCATCAAAACCTTCTTTGTTACCTTCCTGTGGTTAATTTAGGTTTACCTTGCTCTTCTTTCTCTGTTTTTTTGAAGCAGCAGTTTCAATGATTGCTTTTAGCTCCTTAGATACCAATACAGCGCCACATCTGGTGCTCTGTATGAATTTCCCATGATGGACTTTTACAGTGTATTCCTTAAAAATGGTCACCTTGGTGCTGGGGATGTGGCTCAAGTGGTAGCGTGCTCGCCTGGCATGTGTGCGGCCCGGGTTCGATCCTCAGCACCACATACATACAAAGATGTTGTGTCTGCCAAAAACTAAATAATAATAATAAAAACAACAACAACAAAAAATGGTCATCTTTTCTCTTGAGTCACCTCTTTGTCCTGTGTTTGTTTAGAGTCCTGTGTTTCAGGTCCCCTTCGCTGGAGGGTTTGCAGCTTCTTCTGATCTGATTTCTGCTTTAGCTCTCATGATCTTTGAGCATACATGGGATTTCACTGGTGGTGCACTTGTAGGGGTGTGGCTTATTTCATGTGAAGTGTTGCTTTGACCCTGAGACCTCAGTGTCCTTCCCCTTTGGTTGAAGCCCATGAAGCCCTCCTGCCTCCATCATTGTCCTCACAGAGGTAGGCTGCTGTCTCTGAGTGTAATTGTGCATTCTTGATTGTTTGGGGTGGTTCTGTATGTTTTCAGTCCTTGAGTATGGTTTTGTGTCAGTGGCAGGGACATTTTCTTTTGGCCTGTTCCATCACTGTGCAGACATCACAGCATGCTTACCGATGTGCATGGTGGCCTTTTCACACCCAGACTGTGTGGGATAGTTCAGGAATCTGGGCTAGAAACTTGTTGCTTTACCACACTCTGGAAGAGCTTCTGCCTTAGGTTTGTTTGCAGCACCATTCCTACAGGCAGGATGAATGTCTTTCACAACAGACAACCATTGCACATGTGGCCCTACATTGATCAAAATGTCCTTGAACAGAGCATTGGTATGTGTCTCATGACTGTACATTATGGTAGTGAACCGGCTGCTGTTAAGAACAGTTTGACAGTCATTGGACATTCATTGTTGCTATGAGACTTAGAAAAGTAGTGCCTGCTGTTTATTAAGAAGATTGTTTTGAGAGTTATAAAACTTTGTAAGGCTGTCATTTGGACAAGGTGACATTTTTGGGTCATTGAGTTATTTCTAAGACATGTGCCATCTTTCACTTACTCCATTCTGGTTTTACAGTAACCACAGGAAATTATAAAATTGTTGTGTTTATTAATAAATAAATTAATCAAATAGATAACTCATGTTGGTTTTGGTCATTTAATATTAAGCTAGTTGACTAAATTTGTTCTAGAGTAAAGCACCTGCAAACTTCTAGTTGTTCTCAGTGTAATCACACAGGATGAGCTCAATCTCCAGTTAACACATTGTGACAACTTGTGTGAAAAGTTGTCTAAATGTTGTCTATGAAGGAATCTCCTTAGTGACCCCATGCCCAGAGAGTGTGGGTGGGGGCTGGTTCTAGGCATTTCTTTAAGTATGGAACAATAGACTTTCAGAGGGAACAAGACATCAGTAAATTCCATGTTATCTATATTAATCTTGTAGGTACAGGGAGCCACCAGAATATCTCTCAAATGCTTAGTTTCATGATTCCTGCAATTTCCTACTCATCACCTTTCTTTTCTAAAGATAAGTACTATCAGAAGTGCTTATTGGGTCTGTACCACTCAGGACAATTCTAGAACATGTAATAGAGGTGAAACCAAAAAAGAAGTTAGGAGTGATCTGGGAGCCTGTCTTAGTTCCTGTGAACTCACCAAAAGAAGTGTATAAATCACTATGATGCTTGGCTTCTGAGGAGCCAAGTTCTAGTGTTGGAATGGGTGTAAGAAATTGAATGCAGGAAAGATTTGATGGACCAAATCATGGAATTAATCAGTAATTCAGAGAATCCTGTGGACACCAAGCATGTTGAGTACATATTTCTGATGCTATCAATCTCTCCTGACCTCCAGTAAACATTTGTGGGGTATTTTAGATCTCAGTGACCTTTGAGGATGTGGTTGTGAACTTCACGGAGGAGGAATGGGCATTGCTGGATCCTTCCCAGAGGAACCTTTACAGAGATGTGATGCTGGAAGTCTTCAGAAACCTGGCTTTTATAGGTAATAATGATTTTTTTTAAATTAAACAAATAGATAACTCATGTTTATTTTGGTCATTTGTACAGAACATGAGAAGGGAATCCATTGTAGAATTATTGCAGCATAAAAGGCACCTACAAGTTTGGCAAAGCATTTCTGTCTCCTAAAAATTCATAAAGATTATTCTGGTTTCTCATTTTAGAAAACAAATGGCATGAAAAAAACATTCAAGATGAGATCAAAAATTCCGAGATCATTCTAAGGTAATTTTGCCCACAAGAGGAGTTCTTGAGGGAATGTGAGAATGTCATAATTTTTAAAACAGACCAACCCAAGAAGTATGCACAATTTGAAATGTATTTATTTTTATAAGAGTTTTTTTTTTTTACTAGAAATATATACTTAACAGTAACAGATATTCAGTCTTTTCCAAGTACTTGGCATGCCAAAAGTATATGAAATTGCATGTGAATATCACTGTTTAGATAATTACCATAGGGAAGCTGCATTGCAAAGGATTGTTTCCTTTCGATATCTTGATTTTCAGGCAATTTGAAAACATCAGAAAACCTAGCCTTTACCTGATGTTGTTAGTAATGTAAGCCTAGGACCCCTAAATAAATATAAAATCATGAATGAATTAAGCATTGATAATGTGCTAGTCATTCTTCAAAGAAGCCATGTGGTAAACATCAACAGCCAAGAAGATAGTGTGGGGAAACTTTCAATGAGATTCCAGTTCTTAACTGGACAAAGCAAAATTTTAATAGAGTAAATTCATGTGATTGTTATATGTGTGCCAAGGACTTCATATGCACTTCATTCCTTCATAGGCACATCACATCTCACTCTGAACACAAAAGCTACAAGCACGAGGAATGTGAAGAGAAGCCATGTGAATTTAAACAGCACAGGCAATCCCTGGTTTCTCTCAAAAGTGTTCACACACAAATGTTAACACAAACTGGAGATGGACCCTATGAAAGTACAGTATGTGGGAAAGTCTCCAGTTGTTCCAGTGACATTCAAAGGTATGAAGATACTCACACTGGGTGGCAACCCTATGAATATCAACAATGTGGTGAAGCCTCTTCTCTCCCAGATGTTCAAAGACATATGAGAACACACAGTGGAGGTAAACCTTTTCAATGTGAGGTATGTGGGAAAGCCTTTCATTTCTCCTCTTTATTTAGAAGACATGGAAGAACTCATTCTGGAAAGAAAGTCTATCAATGTAAACAAGTTGGTCAAACCTTTATTTCACACACAAGTCTTCAAAGGCACAGGGTCACACACACGGGGAATGCACGATTCAACTGTAAAGTATGTGGGAAAGACTTTGCTTATCCCAGTTTACTTAGAATCCATCAGACAACTCATACTGGAAAGAAGCCTCATGATTGTAAGCAGTGTGGGAAAGCCTTTGCTAGATCCAATGACCTTCAAATACATGAAAGAACACATACTGGGGAGAAGCCCTATGAGTGTAAGCAGTGTGGAAAAGCCTTTGCCACATCCAGTCACCTTCACTCACATGAAATAACCCATACTGGAGAAAAGCCCTATGAATGTATGCAGTGTGGCAAAGTCTTTGCTACATCCAGTATCTTTCACTCACATGAAAAAACTCATACTGGAGAAAAGCCCTATGAATGTAAGCAGTGTGGCAAAGCCTTTACTAGATCCAGTTATCTTCAGATTCATAGAAGAACGCATACTGGAGAGAAGCCCTATGAATGTAAGCAGTGTGGCAATTTCTTTGCTAGTTCCAGTTACCTTCCCATACATGAAAAAACACATACTGGAGAGAAGCCCTATGAATGTAAGCAGTGTGGCAAAGCCTTTGCTACATCCACTTCCCTTCAGATTCATGGAAGAACACATACTGGAGAGAAGCCCTTTGAATGTAAGCAGTGTGGAAAAGCCTTCAGTAGTTTCTCTGGCCTTCACTCACATAAAAAAATTCATACTGGAGAGAAGCCTTATGCATGTAAGCAGTGTGGCAAAGCCTTTCCTAGGTCCAGTAACCTTCACAGACATGAAAGAACACATACTGGGGAGAAGCCCTATGAATGTAAGCAGTGTGGCAAAGCCTTTACTAGATCCAGTGAGCTTCACGCACATGAAAAAACTCATAATGGAGAAAAGCCGTATGAATGTAAGCAGTGTGGGAAAGCCTTTGTTAGATCCCGTTTCCTTCAGATTCATGGAAGAACGCATACTGGAGAGAAGCCCTATGAGTGTAAGCAATGTGGAAAAGCCTTCACTCGTTTCTCTGGCCTTCACTCACATAAAACAATTCATACTGTGGAGAAGCCTTATGCATGTAAGGAGTGTGGCAAAGCCTTCGCTCGTTCCTCTAGCCTTCGTTTACATAAAAAAATTCATACTGGAGAAAAGCATTATGCATGTAAGCAGTGTGGCAAAGCCTTTGCTACATCCAGTAGCCTTCACAGACATGGAAGAACACATACTGGGGAGAAGCCCTATGAATGTAAGCAGTGTGGGAAAGCCTTTGCTAGATCCTGTAGCCTTCACTCACATGAAAAAACTCATACTGGAAAAAAGCCCTATGAGTGTGAGCAGTGTGGCAAAGCCTTTTCTACATCCAATTACCTTCAGGTTCATGGAAGAATGCATACTGGAGAGAAGCCCTATGAGTGTAAGCAGTGTGGCAATACCTTTGCTAGCTCCAGTATCCTTCAAAGACATAGAAGAACACATATCGGAGAGAAGCTCTATGGTTGTAAACAATGTGGAAAAGCCTTTGTTACATCTGCTCACCTTCACTTACATGAACCAACCCACAGTGCAGAGAAATCATAGTCATGAAAACAATTGGCAAAGTCTTCTGTTAATAAGCTTTCACTCATTATCATGTAGTAAGTTTTCTGTAGAAAAATTCTTAGGAAAAAAAAGAAAAATTCTTTGAATGTGAAATATGGGTAAATCAATATTTCTTGTCCAATTCAAAGAGAAGAAAGTGCTCACATGTTTGAATCTATCTATAAATAGTACTGGGGAGTTAGTCTGGTGGTCATTTATTACTGAGCTATGGTGAAGGCAATTTCCCACTCACTGTCTTGACAGGGTCACAGTGACAATTAATGCTGGCAAAGCCGCACTGGTTGGTGGGAATCCGAAACCATGAGACCCTTTTTTTTATATAATTGGGACTTTTCATTTTCATGCTTATGTTTCTAACAGGAGGCATGAGTATGTTAAATGCCAAACAAATTAAATATCAGATGGCTAGAACATAACAGGTAGTTCATGCATTGAAGGCTGTTCTTCTTCCCCTCAGCATATCAATGACAAAGTAGAAGGCTGTTCTTCTATCTCAGTACACTGAGGACAAATATGATAATGGACAACAAACATCCTCTGAAAGGTCACGAGAATTTCAGGCACCACACTGATTATATCAACTAGAACCCAAGCTCATATTTCTAGCCTCTTAGAAAACCTAATCATTATGCTTATTTTACAAAGCCCACCATGTGTAGTCTCATTTTTGATTGAGGAAAGTTATATTATACACTTAGGAAAGTTAAAACATTTAATGATATAATCTTTTTATAAAATCTTTTTTACTTTATATAGGGTTTTATGATGAATATAGTTAATATTGGCAGAAAGTGGACTGATGTTTACAACTTATTTTCTATTGAGAAAGATTATAAAGATATGAGAACTAGTGCACCTTGACTGAGAAACAAAGAAACTCTTTGAGAAAGCAGCTCAACCAGTTTTATGAGAATAAATTTAGGAATTAATTAAAGTATAAGATTTAAGGGGGTGTTTTTAGATGGGAATTTTAGATTAGAAATAAAGTAAAGGTGTACTTTAAATTTATTTATTTTTTAATTTGAATATTTATTATTTTTTAGTTTTTGGAGGACACAACATCTTTGTTTGTATGTGGTGCTGAGGATCGAACCCAGGCCGCACGCATGCCAGGCGAGCGTGCTACCGCTTGAGCTACATCCCCAGCCCGTGTACTTTAAATTTAAAGGTTAATGATTGGTTAGGAGATTTAGAGACTGGTTACGTAGTTTGGCATTAGTTAATAAGAAAATAGTTAATCTTGGAAAAATCTGAAAAATGTAAATTAGTGATGCATTTTATTAATGATTCTGTACTTTTAATAATTAAATAACTAAAGGTCATATCCTGGAAAAATGGAAATTAAATTGTATTATCAATGGCGTATCTGAATCTATAGTGATAAAAATATTGCAATAAAAAATGACCCAGAGAAAGCTGCATTAGAGCTCTCTCTCTCTGGAGATTGCTCCAAAGGAACGACTCCTGTCTCATCTTTTCGCTGACACCACTTATCATTCAGGACCCCCTGGACCCCACTAGGGCAAGACCCGGGCAGAGCCACAAACTTTCCTTTTTATTTTGACAGAGGGACTTGCAGAGTTCCTTAGGGCCTTGCTTAGGTGCTGAGTTTGGCGTCAGAATTGTGATACTTCTGCCTCAGACCCTGAGTCTCTGGGATTAAAGGCAAACACTACCAAACACTACTAGGTCTAACTGAATAATGCTTTAAATGTGAAAAATTCGGAAAATCATTCCATTTTCCCCGTTGCCTTCAAAGTCATTTCACTCACACTGGAAAACCACCCTCAGTATGGGGAAGATTGGGTACATTCTGTCAGCTTCCCATCCCAGTCCCGCTTTCCTTCTCATATACGAAAATACTCATAGAGGGAAGCCCTGAGAATGTGATTAATGTAGGAAGTCTTCTAATTTTCCCAGTTTTTTTATAAGGTCTGTTAAGAATCTTCTGGAAAGATTCATGCCAAAATGAATAAATCAATGCAAGTAAGTGTTCAAGTGTTTCCGTTTTGTTCACTTGTATGAAAGGACTCATACTGTATTAAATCCTGTGGAAAAGCCATGTGGGGCAGTATGCAGCTTTCATGGTTTCCTTCAAATACATAAAGGGATTCACATCGGGGAAAACCCTTCTGTTCTTTAAACAATGTGATGACACTTTCACTTTTCCAGGTTCTTTTTGAACATCATGGAAGAACTCACTCTGGAGAAAAGCCTTGTGTATACAAATGTGGTGAGACCTTCAGTTGTTTCAGATCCAATTAGACTTATATAGACTTGAGAATTTTTTATTTTATTTTATTTTATTTTACTTTTTTTTTTTTTGTTACCAGGGATTCAACCCAGAGACATTCAACCACTGAGCCATATCCTACTTCTTTTTAATTTTTTTTTCCAAATATTTAAACATGGTCTCACTGAATTGCTTAGGTCCTCACTATGTTGCTTAGGTTGACTTTGAACTTGTGATCCCCTGCCTCAGCCTGCTTTTCCAGTGGAATTACAGTCATGCAACCCCTTCAGCAAGAAACCTCTTTTTTTGAGAAAACCAGTGTAAGCATGTAAAAAGGGTGTGTGCCTTCATTTCTTACTGTTCACAGGTAATGAGAATGCACCCTGGATTGGATGTAGAAATTGTGTCAGCATGAAGATGTGAAAGCAACATGTTTCTCCCAGTTAAATATCTCTTCTTGTTAGATTTAATTTTTCTCTATATATTTTTTGCATCTGCAGTCAACTCTCCGATATGATAACATAATCTTATATTTACTTTGTATGTGTGTGCAAAATGTGTGTAGTATGATTTTGTACGTAAAAGTATGCTATACAATAGTACACAAGATTTATAGTTAAAATGTATTAACCTGTATTTGCAGCATTTTAATTCTTTTTTAGAGTTTTCATCTCTCTTCATCCCTTGAGTCCATTTTCTCTCATCTTGCCCACTTTTATGACTTTTATATATGTTGTGACAAAATAAAAATTATGAGAGGTTTTAAATATAATTACCAGGGTCATAAAAGAGAAAATAAACATTACTATTGTAATTATCATCATCATCATCACCACCACCACCATTGTCATATCCAAAGTGGCCAAGCCCTGATCCCATTACTACCCCTTTTTTATTTATTTATTAAGTTTTCATTGAAGTGCTTTTTAAATTCTTCCCAACGGCTTCAGTATGTTGGTGGGGCTGGGTTTGAACTTGTCATTCTCATTCTATAGCCACTGGGATTACAGATGTGCTATCATGCCTGGCTCCTGGATGTTTCTTGAAACTTTGATGTAAATCAATATGTGCCGTCTTTCTAAGAGTTTCCAAGTCCTATTTGATTCAGAGGCAAGAATTACTTTTTAATATGTTTATGTATACAAATGCCCTTCACCTCTAAGATTCTAGATTGATTCTGAGCATCACAAGGACATTAATTCACACCTTATACTCCAAATTTTTATATTTCCAGTTGGAGTTAACTGAAGTCCACTTGAAAAAAGTTCATTTTAGGTAATTTCTGTTGAAAACAGGGTGGGAGAACTTCTTTAGTGTTTAAGGAATCAAACTATTCATTTCTGTTAAGATCTTATGATAAAATGAAATGTAAGTAGCCACTGAGTATTACAGAATTTTTTTTTTTTAACAAACAATTTTATTTTTCTGTCTGTGCACCAGACACCAGCTAATCAACTCTCAGAGTGTCAGAGAGTATGGAACGTGGCCTGGTGTTCATGTGAGTGTTCTCTAGAGCACCAAGTTAAACTACAAAAGCAATCACCTTGGAGAGGTGAGTTGTGCCACCCACACATGGACACTCACACCCACGTACAGGATCAAATCACCCTTTTATCTACATACCCTCCCTAGTGCAGTTCTCTCATCCTCATTGTGTAATGCAACTATTGATTTCTTTGACTTTTCTCACAACGTTACAGCCCACTACTTTTTCTCAAAAATTAATTATTACTTCATGAATTCTCAATTTAGTTTGTGTCTTTCTAAAGTTTGCTTACACATTGTGTATGTGAGTTGAGGCCTGTGCACTCCAGCATTCTGTGCAGATTGGCTAAATGTCTCTTTTTTCCTCCTTTGCTCCCTTCTTTCCTTCAGATTTCACCCAGGAGTGCTCCACCACTGAGCTTCCCCCTAGCCCTTTTATTGTTATTTTTTGAGATGGGGTGACGCTGGCCTCAAACTTATGGTCACCCTGCCTCAGCCTCCTAGCAGCTGGGACCATAGAGATGTGCCCTTTTGTGCCCTGCAAATGGCCTCTTCCTTTTCCTTGGTGCCTTATTGGCCTGTTGATGACTCTGGGGCCACCACTCTGTCACTCGTGTTTCTTCTAAGTCTCATATGTTGTGTTGTATGTAGGCACATTAAAAGGCATTATAAAAGTTGTAATTTGTATGTATTGTTTGGAGAGGCACCATCTCAAAATATACTTTGCTGTGTACTTAATTGAGTGGCTTTCTATTTCTTCTCATTCCCTGGTACCAGGGACCCAATCTTGCCTTGTGCCTGCTAGACAGGTGCTCTAGCACTGAGCACTCCCCTAGCTCAGGTGGTGAGTTTGCTGCTGCTGTGTGCGTGGTCCCTGCGTGGACCCCACTGAGGACCACTTTGGTAGATGCAGCTCTGCAGGTTTTCCTCCATGTTTTCATCTGGTTCCTTTCTTAAACATCTTTAACAGCAGGGAATTTTAACCACTGATATCCACCTTAGCTTTTCTCCCTATGACTAATACTTAGGTGAAATATGCCAGAAAACCCAGGCTGGACTTCTCTCTGTGTTCAGGGTACCTCAGTAGCCCTGGGAACATCATGTGATGATTTTCTTCAAACACAGCCTGTGATCAAAACTAGGTAAGGAGGGACCCAGTCGGATGTCCTAATGTATTGGTGCCCCCTTCTGCACCTAAGAATCTTAAATAAGGTTCTCCAGAGACCCTCACCATAATTTTCTTTAAAACAAATATCAGGAAAAGGTTTTGCAAAGATATCAATATGTGTTAGAATGAAGATGTGATGATGTTACTTTTTTTTTTTTTTTTTGGTAAAGTTTGGAAGATTTCTGAATAATCTCAAAAATGATTAAAAATTCACTTTCTTTGAACAACCAAAAAAAAAAATTATGTAGACTCCTACAAAAATAAAATAAAATAAACCTCCACTAAGTCAGCTCCCTGAATCTTCCTCAGGTATCCAGCCTCATCAGCCCCACATCACTTATAGAGCCTCAAATGGCAAAAGATTTCACATGGTACCCATGAAATTACATATGTGAATATCAATATTTGGATAATAGTCATAGAGAAGCTGTGTTGCAAAGGATTGTTTCCTTTCAATCTCTTTATTTTTAGTCAAGTTGAAGAAGTCAGAAAACCTAGTCTTTACCTGATGTTGGTAGTAATGTAAGGACCTATAAATAAATAGAACATTGTGAATTAATCAAGCATTGCTTATGTGCTGGTCACTTCTTCAAAGAAATCATATGGTAAACTTCAAAGGACCAAAATAGTGTGGGTAAACCTTCAAATCAATTCCAATTCTTAATCGAACAAAGAAAAATTTTAATAGAGTAAATCCATGTGACTTCATTATGTGTGCAAAAGACTTCATATGTCCTTCGTTCCTTCATAGGCACATCACATCTCACTCTGGACACAAATACTACAAGCATGAGGAATGTGCAGAGAAGCCATGTAAATTTAAACAATACAGGATATCTCTGGTTTCTCTCAAGTATTCTCACACAAATGTTAATACAAACTGGAGATGGACCTTATGAAAGTACAGTATGTGGGAAAGTCATCAGTTGTTCCAGTGGCATTCAAAGACATGAAAAAACTCATACTGGGTGGCAACATGATGAATGTCAACAATGTGGTGAAGCCTCTTCTTCTCTCCCAGGTGTTCAAAGACACACAAGAACACAGAGTGGAGGTAAACATTTTCAATGTGAGGTATGTAGAAAAGCCTTTCATTTCTCCTCTTTATTTAGAAGACATGAAAGAACTCATTCTGCTGAGAAATTTTATG